TTGAAGTGTAAACTTGTTTAATAAACCATATCTTTCATTTTCGATTTTTAATTCACGTAGTCCGGGAACTTTCCGGACAAACTGTGTACATCGCGCGAAGCGTTATTAATTTATTCTTCACCCGCAAAAACTTCCCATCTAACTTCATGTTTATGGGAGGAAGATACTTCGGGGCGCATGGATGATACAGAAAGGACGTTAAACATCGGACTTCGTAATCGTACGAATTATTTTCAAGACAAAAACTCAGTAGATCTCATCGGACATCTTCACTGTGATGTTTTTAATCAAGATAAATTTTTGCTCAACGGCGTAGAACTGCGAATGAGACTTGTGCGCTCAAAAAATTCTTTTTGTCTTATGGAAGCCGCTTCTGAATAAAATTTACATATTTTAGATGCTAGTTTGCTTATAGGAAGAGCAAAGATTAGTCCTGGAATATTACTAGAGCATGCGCGAATGCTGAGCAAAACTACCGCCAAATATCCTCTTACCCGAGACAAAGTTAAAACATTCACTATTCACTCTGGTGTTGTGGGTGAAACATTAGATAATGTAATACTCGGTCAACTACTAAAACGGATAATAATCGGATTTGTTGATAACAAAGCTTTTAACGGCGGTAGAAAATTAAATCCGTTTAATTTCAAAAATTATAATATAAATTTCTTCTCGTTGTATGTGGACGGCACGCAGGTTCCCAGCAGACCTCTACAGCCGTTATTTTCGCAAAATGCAAAACTTTATGTCGAAGCATATTATACTTTATTTTCGGGAACTGGTATTCATTTCCTGAATGAAGGAAATTCTATAAGCAGAAACGCTTATGCTGAAGGTTACACGCTTTTCGCTTTTGATCTTACTCCAGATCTATCGGCTAATTGCGCCGGACATTGGAATCTTGTAAAACATGGTAGTTTACGCTTAGAAGTACGATTTGAAAAACCGCTTGACACTACCATTAACTGCATCGTCTACGCCGAATTCGATAATATTCTAGAAATCGACTCTTCACGTCAAGTTATCGTCGATTTTAGTGGTTAGGTTTACATTTCGCTATTCATCTTTTGCCATATTGTCGACGTCATCATCAAAAAAACACCGGTGTAGTATAAAAGGCAGCTGGTTTTCGGGAAAAGACCACTTTGCNACGATACACGTTCCGCGCTAAGAGCAACGTACGTCATGGATATTGTCATCGACATACAGGGCTTTCGCGATGCGGATAGCAAATTTATTCCTAAGGAAGTCGCAGTTGTCGCAATCAACAGAAATATTACCGATCACTGGATTCTAATGCCGCCTTATCTCTTCTCGGAATTATCAGAAACATCAAGAAAAGAAAACAATTGGCTTACACGTTACTATCACGGCATCGAATGGAACGACGGTGAAAGAAATCCTAAATATTTGGGGATTCATCTACGCGAAATTACAAGAAGCTGCCGACGTATCTACGTTAGAGGCAGCGAAAAGGTTTGCTACTTACAAAATCTTCTCTCCAGAAATATATATAATCTGGAGACTATTTCCCCATCGTTCAAATGCTTGCCGAACAAAGAACGATGTACTTATCACGGGCTTCGAGAAAGATTTAACAACTTTCAATGTGCATTAACTAACGCATATAAATTGAAGCAGTGGTTAAACAAACAGAATTCGATTAAGCAAAACCGCGGAGATATTTTTGTGCGACGTTTTCCGGACAGTGAAGTTATTTCGTCAGAAGACGAGGAAAAAGAACAAAATGAAAGCGATTGCGACAGTTTTGTAGACTGTCTAACAGGGGATGATATGGCAAATAAAATGTCAGATAATTTCGCCAAAGACATTGAAATACCTACCCTCACAGTAGAAAAAGCAGCACAGACGGAGAACGGCGCGAAGATAAATACTGACTTTGGGCAATACCTAATACCGGAAAATTACACATTACCGCCGCCGCATACCCGCGATGAATACGCTTCATATCTTACAAGCTCTGCAACAACTAAATGCAAGTCATGTGGAGGTTTATCCTGCCGACAGATTGCCGAGAGTGTGGACACGGTCGACAGCGATCGTTGCTAACACTGATGAACATGATCGTCCCGGCCAGCATTGGGTTGCTTTTTACATCGATGATTGCGAAAAAGGAACATATTTCGACAGCTATAGAATACCTCCTCTAAATCAGCGATTTCTTCTACGCCTGCGGCGAAATTCTTCTATTCACTGTTGTAACACCACGCGGCTGCAAGGTCTATTCTCTCAAACATGCGGACATTATTGCTGTGTATTTTTATATTTTATGTGTAGTGATTGTGATCTTGCGCAGTTTAAGAATCTTTTTACCGAAAATTACGAACATAATGATCGCTTGATTGTACAATTATTTCGTAAAATATTTTCTCAAAATAAAAATCCTGTAAACTGCCGTCGTATTCAAACCTGTACTTTTAAACAAAAACACGTAATCTAATAAAATAAAACACATGTAATGTAATAAAAAAATAAAAAATAAAAAATAAAAAACAAAAACAAGTTTTTATTTACTTCTTTTATCTTTTTCTAGTTATTTGTAATTCTAAATTAGATGAAACTAGCAATAATTCTAAATTATTACTTAGTTTTGGTCGAAGCGACGACCGTTAGCTGACATTCCTTACTCCAGTCGTTAAAATAGACGAGACAAACTAGCTTTTCTATACGAATATCGAAAGGGAAGGAGAACCATAATGGACGTGCCGAATAGCCACGCGTGGAGGGCGACATAAAAACGGATGTCTGGCCCAAATAGTAGCGCGTGGGGGGCGCCATAACAGTCGCCCGACCCAAAATAGTCAGCAGTAGGCGAGCGCTTTACTTTGGATCTCGTCTAAACCATCTTCTTATTTCCAATAGGGATAAGTAGCACAGTTAGCCTTGCGTGTAGGCGTTTCCTCTCCCATTCCATCACACTTAACAATTTCTATACTATTGCTAGTCCCTATGCCGCTTACAGCCTAAGTTCCCTGCAGCTTACCTATACTGCTACGCTAGCTTATATTTCACGTTGATGATTTAGCTCTCCGGATTAGGTACAAGTGCTGTAAACACCGAGGACCAGGGTTCGAATCTCCACATTTCGTAAAGATTTTTTCCAGGTTTTCCAAGATTTTCTACGCTATGGTCTATACAGGATACTTACTGGCGTGCGTAACCTACATAGACCATAGCGGATAAAAATTATTTTTAAATAATTAAATTTTTTAATAATTTTTTACATTATTTTCTCTATTTGTATCGTCTCCACTATTCGAGGATCCCCGCCTTACCCCCATCGAGCGTTACCCTCTCCACTCATGGACGATATGCCGCCCCCCACTCCCGCAATCTTTGGTTGCCGGAGTAGGGGGCGCCATATCGGACATATACTACTGTCGGGTACTGTTTTCTCACTAATGTTGGAAATTAATCCAACATATACGAAAAACAGTAGCTAGCTATAATATAAAACTTGCACGTCACACAAATATTTGATCTTATATCAATAGATCAAATGGAATTATACGGTATATATAATAAATGAAATAACTGTCAAGCACTTCACTACACATTCGAAAGTACACGCCACATACGAAACAATCAGAAAACGATAAATAACGTTTTTGTAAACTACATATGCAACGCACAATATTTAGAGCAGCGAAACGTACGCGATTCTAGATTGTTTTGTGAGTCGCCTACACTCCTCTCCTATTGCTTTTTTGTCATTTTGCGAAAGCAGAACGAAGCGTGCAGCTCGCAACAGCTATGCAGGACGATTTACGTAAGTAAATAATCAATTTATTCTTATAAATCATTTAATATGTGGAAATATTACAAAGAGATAAAAACTACTTTTAATGCAACATAACAAACATTACATTAATAATCATACGTTTCAATCCTATATCAGATTTTCTCTTTAGTGATAAATCTAAAAAATAAACAAACGTTACTAGCGAATAAATTATAAATATTTAAAAAAATATTTTACAGCAGTATATCATTAAAAAAAGAAAATCATAATTAATGAATGAATTAAATTCGGGTTAGTCGAGCCGTTTTGCAGGATGTTATGCAGAGAATGTGCTTGAATATATATATATACAGGGTCCGCCACTTAAATCCGGACAAAAATTTTTTTCTCGAAAAAGTTGTTTATTACAGAAAATATGAAAAAACATAAATAGACTGCTTTATAGCTGGGTTAAGGGATCTTTTCTGAGACATTTTACTCAATGTATCCGCCC